TACCATCGGTTTCTGTTTATTTTATTTATTTGTGAAAGGCTTCTACCCCAACACCATTTTGTTGCTAAATCATTATTCTAAATGTTACATAATTGAGCGCATCGTTCTAAATCTAGAATTTTTTTTATCATATTTGATTAACTTTTTTTCCATTCCTATTTGTATGACACAATGATAACTTTCTTGCGTTTCATCCATGATAAACCATGCAGAGGCAGCGCGGGCTTTACTTCACTTGTTCTGAAATAATTCTCAGCGCTATTTTACTGATAATTATAAATCCACATATCGTATCATTATATACACTAGGCATAGAATACCGCAGCTTTTGACAGATGATGGAAAACACATATATATGCCATAAAACAAACTCAAGATAACCACATCAAGGCTGCTCTCTTACACAACAAAGTAAGACAAATGTTATCACACTGATTTTTTATAGAGAGATCTTGAGGTTGATCAAACTGTGATAAAATAAGATGTTTTAACACTGTTGTACGTCTAATTCTTATACAGTAAAGTGATATAACATACTATCACTCTCTGATTACTTACTGACAGAATTCCCAGAGTGCACATATCGGGGAACGAGGAGGAGGAATGGAAATTGGCTGTAGATGACTTATCAGGATTGCGTGAGACTCAATGTAGAGAAATGTTTTGCATCGTGACGTTGTGCAAGGTGAGTACTGCTGATACTCAGGACAGGAAGCATTTTTAGACCATCAGTTCAACAAAACAGCGACTTGGCATTAGGCTGTTTTCCTACAGGATGGGCCCAGGCCGTGGTGATGGCGACTCCTGCAGGGAAGGCCTGCTCTGTGGCAGCCTGATAATATCTGTCACAACACAAGGGCACGATCACCTGCACCAGGAAGGCTGGGCGGGAAGGCAGCCCTGGAATCCGGAAGAGCATCTTTGAAATGAACAGAGGTGAGTGTGGCCCTCCTCTTCGACTCTTCCAGTTCTGAATATGTTTCATGTTTGAATGAGATGTGTGGCTAGAAATGTTCTAGAAAGGTTGATGTTGTCTGCAGGCAGGTAAACGTGTCGGAAGGACCTCCAGTGCTCCGGGCTCATGAAGCTGCTGCAGGAGGAGGAGAAGTTTGGGGAAAGCACCGACAAAAGTTGGCTTCCTTGGTAACATAACTTTACATTCTGATGTGTAACATGTATTCTAGATTTTTTCTATAAACAAATTCATTTCTAGCTCAGCCTTTCCTCTTTGCACTGAATTATAATACATTTTTATATGGTATTTAGATATTTTAGGATTTGAATCCCTGTACAAGGACCCTAACGTTGCAAGTGGGCTGAACAGTATATTTTTCACCAAAAGGTTTTATAAACTCTTATTCTCCTATCAAGCCTAAGTTCAGTCTTTCGTTTAGTAATGAAACCAAAAGATCAGCAAATACAGTCAAAAATAAAGTCCCGAAGTCTGTCTGTCGTTCTTTGTTCTGCCACGTGGTCTTCAGAAGGAACCAGAATGTGACTCTGGATCACTCTCACTCAGACCTGTTGTGGGAGTGTGGGTGCCAGCTGGCTGCAGAACAGACACGTCCTAAACAAACTCCTATGGAACAGGAAGAGAACTCCTGCAGCAGATTGGACAATATCACAACATGTATAGCAGACGAATACTCAAATAAAGTTACACAACATTTTAAAGTCACCCTAATTATGCAAAATCCACTTTTTCCATGAAATCTTTTAAAGCATAAAACATGTGTATAAGAGATTTGGCGGCTCTT